AGATCATGATATATTGAATAATCTATTGGAGCTACTTGTTAAATGTCTTATATCTTTCAGAATGTGGAAGCTTATCGGTCTTCATGATTACAAAGAAGATCTGGTCAAAGTTTCCTGGGGCATTAATATGAAAATTACCTTGTTACAGACTTCTTTATGAAGTGGTGATATTTGCTGTCTCTTACATAGGTGATCTAATAGGGAACCAAGAGATGATGCTATAGCAGTACAATACCACAATGGCTGAGGGTGAAGGGCTAAATAAAATCTGAGGAGCTGAGCAATGTGTAAAATGGAAGTTTGGGAACAGACTTCCGGATTGCCCATTGATCCGTTTTTCTCAGGCTTTTTCTTTTCAGGCTTCTTTTCACTTATATATAGGTCTTACACTTCTCTTTGGTCTTATCTCTTTCTATCCTTTCTGTCCTTTTGTTCTTTCACCGTCTCATTCTGCCCCCTCCTTTTCCCACCCTCACTCTTTCTTCTTGGTCTAAAGCTTTTCTTCTACTTGAAATTCATGCAATTTATCCAAGGTATCCACCTTAATTTTTTTGTCTTGCCAGGTAACCAGAATTCCTTCTGGTNAGCACATCCAGCATGGCCTCATATGTCATTCTTGCACTGAAAAAGTTCTGATAGATGTTGTAGCCCAGGGTGATGTTGGGTAAGAGCCAAGGATTCCGGTTGACTTCATGAACAGCCAACAAGAAGAGCAGAATATGGTAGAAAGTGTTCTCACTGCAATGTAGGAAATTTCAACATCTTTTTTTGCTCTATACCCACAATTTATGTGACCAACTTAAAATCAATTGCAGTTTTTTTGTTGATGACATAAGATAATTCAATTCAGCAGATAATTCTGTTGTTTTGCAAAGTGATCTTGACTATGTGTCTGAATGATGATCTATTTGACAATTTCAAATTTCGATAAATAAAGGCTCTGTCTTACATATTGGTAAATATAATCAGAATGTCAAGTATAAGGTAGGTGGAATTGATCTAGCAGATGACACTCACTTTGTCAAAGACCTGAGTGTAGTTATCGCTGACAATTTATGCTCCAAAGCTTACTGTAACAACATTGCTAAAAAAGCGTTAAGAGTTGTAAACTTTATTTTGTGAAGCTTTTGTTCTGGAAACATTGTATTGCTAATTAGAGCTTATAAAACTTATGCTAGACCAATTTTAGAGTATTGTTCAACTGTTTGGAATCCCCTCCATATATCTGACATCAGTACAATCAGGTGGGTTCAGAAGTGTTTCATGAGAAAATTCTTGCACTCTTCTGTATACAATATAACTCCTAATGCTACTAGGCTCAAAATTCTCGTCTTGGATAACTTAGAACTGTGTTGCTTACGATCAGACCTAGGAATTGCATACAAAATTATATGTGGTAATGTTTTACCTGTAAATGACTTTATCTGTTTTAATCGCAATAATGTGCTTGCGAACAACCACTTTAAACTCCATGTAAATCCCTCTAAACTTGACTGCAAAAATATGATTTCTGTAATAGAGTTGTCAATGTCTGGAATGCCCTACCTGACTCAGTTGTCTCAGCTACAAATGTTCACACTTTCTGTAACAAATTGACTTCCATGGACCTTACATCATAAGTGCACTAAGATGCCTATTGTCCCTGTCATGGTATTTTTATTCTCTTGTTCTTGTTCTCCTTTTTGTTTGACAAATAAATAAATCTTCATTTTGAATTTTAATGAAAGCATGTTATATTGACTATAGCTTTATATCTATATGGTGCAAAGCCAAAAAGATAATCAGGTACTCATTATTCAGTTAATGTATTCAATTTATTTGGATTTTGCAATGGAGAGACATTTTTGAAATTTCTATGAGATGAAAGTGGCAAACGTGCTAAAGGGTGGAAAGAAGGACTGGAGAGGGTGGCAGGAATAATAAAGTAAATGTAAGAAAGGGAAAGAAACAGTGGGGAGAAAAGACAAGAGATCTCCCTCTGTTCTAATGTATTCATTTAATCATTTTATTGAGAGTTAACGTTGAACTATTGTTCATAAATAAATAAAATTAATATGAATAAATAAGTTGCTGACTCTCAACAGTACCAATGTAATCATTTTGAAAACAGACAGAACCCCATCCACACAAATGCCATTTTGGGACAGTGTTGGCAGTACCCAATTTTCACGTGACACTTGTTGAAGAACTTAAAAGGAACTTTTACAAAATCCTCATGTTCCCCAGGAGCCTTTCCTCTAAAGGAAATTGGGAGAAGCAATAATGAATTTGCCTTTCTCAAGGTGAGAATAGGAGAAATGAAATCATTAATCGAAAAGACATTGGAGCCGGTAAATTCAATCACCAGAATCCTGGAATGCTGAAAATTACCTTTCGAGTTTGTGGGTTGGAGGTTTTGAGAACGAAAATTGGTGCAATCGAGCTACAATTCCAGAAATTAGCCCAGTAATCCAGTAGTCTCCTGGTTTGTAGTAATGGAACCATTCCTTTTCTTCTATTATCACCTTAAATGGGCATTTCACCAGCATACTGGCACAGGGAATTTGAGACAGAAACTGAAGCAGAAAGAACTGTATATGCATCAGCAACAACATTTGATATACACTGCAAGAGATCCTTCCTATAGATCTTTCTTCAGCACAGAGTTAAATCTCAGAGTCTACAATTACAGTGAAGAAGTTCCAGTTTGCTTCCAGATTTGGAAGTTTTATCTGCAATTTCAGATTGCCACAGTATTTTCCCAGCTTCATCCCAACCTCTGCTCTCATCACAGAAGGAGGCTGTCACAAATCAGAGTATCAGGTGCTGACTTTCCCATTTGCCGTCACATTGATTGGCAACTAATTGTGGTGGTGGAAATTACAAAGGAGAATAAATAATACATGCTTATAAAAATTAGAAGT